TTTGCGAGAAAAGAAAAGAAAAGAGAAGAAAGGAAAAGAAAATGGGATGTGTGTTGGTGCCGGTGAGCGATTGCTGAGACGAAAGAGAGAGAGAGAGAGACAGAGAAGGTGGTGAGGTGTGGGGGATGGTTTTGTGAGGGTGAAAAAGGAACACGTTGGGCGGGCGTTTTCCCTGATTCGTTTCGCTCAACAGACTTTCACAAAACCGGCGTCGTTTTTATGCTCCTTTTTGACTTTTCCGGGCTTTTTCCCATTTTTAAATTGCTTTATTTTGACTCTCCCTCCGCTGTTTGTTCCGCTCTTTCTGTGGGATGGCGGATTATTTAATTGGGTAAATTCTTATTATTTTTTTTTGTAATATTAAGTCTATTTAACAAAATTTTTTATAAATAAATAAATAAATTATTTTGAATTAAAAATATTTTATTAATTTTATTAAAAAATTAATAATTTAATTTTTTGTAAGGACAAAAAGTATATATAAAGTACTATTTGAGAATTATTTGTTTCATCTTCTAGAAGAATTTTATTTGAACTTTCAAATCAAGTCGTTAGCTGTCTTGTCTTTACTCGAACCTTTTGCATTCATGAAATAAATGCTCTTTCCTTTTATTTGTAAAATATCTTCAACTTTGAATGAGATTTTAAATATAATTCACTAATTATGTGTAACTAAAAAAATATACATTAATTACGGATTGAAGGTGCATTCAACCAATTTACTGTTCTTAATAGTACTACTAATTAGAAATGAAATTGAAATAATTGATTGATAGTGATTGATCAATTCGATTTGATTTGTTTACTTTTAATATTTTATTGATTAAAATAAATAATTAATTAAATTATTTTGATTGATTTTTTATATTTAAAATTTATAAACAAATCAATCAAAAGAGTTATCATTAATAATATATTTTTAAAATATATTTTATATGTAAATAAAATATTATACATTAATTAAGATAGATGGTACATTAATATTATCAATTAAGATAAATGTTAAAAGATATAAATCAAAATTCAATTTTTTCATTTTTAATAATTGGAATGAACAACTTTTTCAAATGAACGACTTATTAAATTATTTTGATCAGCTTTGGTTTTTACAATTTAGAATCCAATCAATCAAAAACTTATCATTAATATATTTAATATATATTTAGACTTTATTAGTGAAATATTAAATAATATTTTTAAAAATATATATTAATATTATTAATAATAAAAATCAATCGAATCGAGTGAAATAAATTGGTGTCAAATAATTCCATTTCAAGTATAATTCAATCAGTTTTAATTTTTTGTTATTAAAAATTCAATTAATTCCAACTTTATAAAAATTTAAAATCCAATCATGGAACTAATAATACATTTTGTATAGTTAAAATAAATTTTAATGGACACGACCAACAAGTCAAGCATTGAATAAACGTGAACTCAGTTCAACATCGGCCTTCATTTCAAATCGGAGGAGTCTCCCTCAGCTGACTTCAGTTTTTCAGGTAAATCTTTAGATAAGTTACACTGCATATTCTTCAGTCCATGGCTGCGAGATTCCCTTCATCAGCGGCCATGCCGGGTCAACCATGAAAACGTAAAATCAGAAGGTCACGTCGTAATTAAGAAATGATATTAGCTGGGCATTAAGGCATCGTTGCACCCGTGGCTGGCCTCGGGATCACATTTCAAACGTCAGTAGGGTGTGAAAGAGACGCCGGTCCCCCGTTGTCCGCGACCCCAGCGATTGTGAGGTGAATTGGCATGTTTTCACGTTCCAAGTCATGTTACAGGCCTCACGTTGGAAGGCTATTAAATTCTGATGGGATGCGAGAATTGTACAGTAGGATGTAGGTGACATTGACTGATCTTTAGGCCAGAGCTTCAACTCTGGGCGATGGATTTCCGGTTAGAAATCGGAACACGGCAGGCATCTAATCTAAACTATCAATGAATGTACCGCATTTGAACTTAACTTACTCTTTGCATTAGATTCTATTATTATTTATATTTGAAAAATTGAAGAGCAAACGTGTTTACTGAGGTGTGTAACACACTCACTTATAAAGAGTTCAAGACCTTTTGTTCTTGTCCGATGTGAGATAGAGACACCCATACTCTCACACCTGATTCCGGCAACACCATCGTTGCCGTCGACCACCTTGCCTTACCTACTTCAATCCGTTGGGACGCTTGGCGTAAGTCGAATAAAGTCTGGTCTGTTCTGATATTACTTGTCACAGGATCATTACCCTCTCTCCATTAAACGCGCTTACTGAGGTGTGTAGCACACCCACTTATAAAGAGTCCAAGACTTACTTATAAAGAGTCCAAGACCTTCCGTTTTTGTCCGATGTGAGATAGAGGCATCCTTTATGACAAAAAGATTTCGTTCGTTGAGACCTGCCTACATTTGAAACATTCATTTTGGAGAAAATTAAGGTTAGCATATTTCGATTTAAAATTATTTGAATTCAATTATTTTGATTTGATTGATCAATTCAATTACTTTGATTTGGTTTTTTTCAATTTTGATATTAAATAAATTAAGTGGATGATATATCAATATATGATATTCAAAATGTCTATCAAACAAATTAATTTTAATTATTTTAATTCAATTTTTTTTATTTCCATATTAATCAATTAAGATAAATAATATGTTCAATTTTCAACATTCAAAATTTATAAACCGAATGGATTGAAAAATCAATATTAATAAGATATTTTTATATAATGTTATTAATATTTTTAAATTGTAAATATTAAAATTGATTGAATGGATAAAATCAATCGATTTATGTCAGTTTCACTATTTTATTAATATCGTTGGGACATTATGAATAAGAGAATATTCTTTATTTATTCTCAACTTGAATGCATAATAATAAGAATGTAATACAATTAAAACAGTTAACAATAGATATTATAATACAATTAGAATAATTAACAAGAGATTTAAATAAAATAAATATTTTATTTCTAAATAAAACACAATTAGTCTAAAGTTTTAGTACAAGTACATTAAATAAAAGAAAAAATTTATTATACTTATAATTTCTATGTAAGACTTAAATAATAATAATAATTTAATAATATATTCTTATATCATTCTCTCTAGATTTGAGAGAAAAAAATTAAAAATAAATCATCTTCAAGATCCGTATCTTCTTTGTGTTATGATTTCTTGAAGCATCTTATCTCAGATACTCTGATCTTATTGCTGCCTTCTTTTTCTTGTTAACATTTGAGATTTTATCATTGAATAATAGCATATTTCTTCAATTTAGTTGCAACAAACTTGACATGTTTTTCATTAGAAACATATTTGAACTAAAAAAAATTTTCTAATATGAAAAGCCAATCAAGGAAATCATCAAGATAAAGCCTTCCTTCAAACTCAAGAATGTTAAGCCTTGATTCTTAAATCTTTAGTAGCAATAGTTCTTAAGGCAACATATAGGTATTTCTTCATTAGATAACCATTCATGGTGGAAAAGGTTGTTATTATCCTCTATCTCCTCACCATATTCATCATAAGCTAGTTATAATTCTTCTCAATCCAAATAATCCTCTACATATACCTTTCAATGAAAATCAGCTACTTTAATCTTCCAATCTAACTTTTGTTGCTTAATTTACGGATCCATCTTCATCACTAGAGCTATTGTTGATGATTTAAGCAGTATCACGTCTTGTGAGTGCTCTTGTAAATCTTGAATTTGAGGATGTAATTGCTCAATCTCGATCTCCTCATCAATTCATTAACAATTTTGACATCTTGCAACATTTTGTTTGCTCAAATGGAGAATGACAATTATGGCAATGATGATATGACGATGACATCACCCAAAAAAGTCGAAACTTGACAACAAAACCCAAATTACAAAACAAGTAATGATCCTTCCGTTTTGATGACAAGACGTCATAATCGTCAAATAATTAATAATGAGATCAAAATTGAGAAATTACATCTTCAAATTCAAGATTTACAAAAGCGAATGATGAAAATAAACTCACAAATCAAGCAACAAGAGTTAAATTGGAAGACCAATTACTACACGCCCTTGATTTAAATGGTAGAGTCAAGATTGAAGTAGTTGACTTTCATGAAAAGTTACATGCGAAGGATTATTTGGATTGAGAAAGTTAAAACCAATTTATGATGAATATGATGAGAAGATATAAGATAATACCAACTATTTCCATCATGAATCGTTTTTTAATGAAGAAGTACTTATGCGTCGCCCAAGAACTACTATTACTAGCAACTTAGGAATCAAGGTCTAACATTCCTGAGTTTGAAGGAAGACTTCACTCTAATTTAGATGGTGAACATCAATCTTGATAAAGTTAAAAACCTCACTGAGGTGAATAATAATCAAAATCCCATTTTTGTTGGCCAAGCAAAAGACACTAGAACCTCTTACTAAAGAGTCTAGAGAAAATAAACACTCCTGCTTATTTAAAAGAATATTCTTTATTTATTCTCATCTTGAGTGTATAATAACTAAACCTAAAGGTGTCATTTATAATGTGATAATTCCAAATCATAATAAAACTCTACTTATAGTTGTCTAATACACTATTACTTCTAGTAATCTAATACAGTTAGAATAATTAACAAGAGATTTAAATAAGATAAATGTTCTATTCTTAAATAGGACATGATTAGCCTAAAGCTCTAGTACAAGTAAATTACATACAAGGGAAATTTTATCATACCGGTGATCCTTATGTGAGACCTAAATAATAATAATAATCTAATAATATATGCCTGTATCAACCCTAACCAAAACGAAGCTAATCACTCAACTCAATTCGTTAGCCAGAAGCCAAATTCCAATTTGACCACTGAAAGCTTTGTTTTGGTCCCTCCAACAAAACTTCAACATTGAAAAAGTACTATTAGTAATGATACATGCCGAGATATTAGCTCAACTCCAAATAACTTTAACTCTGAAAATCAAACTGCATGACAGTTTTACCCACCAAAAAATGAAATCACCATGAACCTATTGCTACTTGTGCTACACAGGCTTAAAGCATGTCTAACAGGACACCTTTGTGTTAAGCAGGGAAAAAGTAGCCAAATTGCATTAAGAAAGGTGTGAAATCAAGACTTTATTTACCAATCAAAGGCATATATTGCAGCTATGTAATTTTCTTTCTGTGTATACATCTCTATCATTATATGTGTAGATTCACATGAAGTTCCTCATCTATTACTCTTAAATTTCTTCCTTTTGCTTCACTTGGGATGATGTCAAAGATTTCTTTATACAGTCTACAATACCTTCACAATTTGCTTCAGGAATCATGCAGTCAGGCATGTCTTCAAAGCCATCAACTGGATACGAATGAGGAGAGCGAAGGTTTCCATGAGTCTGGCAAGCCTTCATCGTCTTACAATGTTCAGCTTCATCGTCTCTGATGTTCACAAACACATCATACAAATTCTCTGGGAAAGGACATAAAGTTCAAGCCACTTATGTCAGTATACATACCATGTCCAACTCTTTAGAAACAAAATTCCTATAGTTTCTTGTCGTATACCCTGTCAGGCCATCATTTGTCACTTAATGGAAGAATGGTCTTTATTAGAACAAGCGGACTCAGGCAACATTCAAACAGATATGGGCCTCATTGGAACACATATAGGCCATTTACAAGGGGATAAAAAGAAGAAAACGAAACAAATCTTGTGCTTTACCTATTTTTGGTCTTCGTGAACAGGGAGCTCTATCAGTTTGAAATTCATCTGGGCAGAAATTTGGAGGAATTGTTAAACCCATATGACATATTAAAAGATATGAACCATGCACTGTCAAAAGAAATACTCACCAAACAAGTACAAGTCACCTCCGGTGTAGTACTTTATAGCAACCTCGGGAGCAGGCTTCTCTTTCAACTCCTCTGGAAAGAAACAGAAGGTACATATCCATTCAAAATTGGTAAAATTAGTTAAAAGAATTACGAAATGAAAATCTATTATGCTGACATGGTGAAGATCATATTTGATTTGAAGCAACAATCTAAAGACTTGTCAGAAAGCCCCAGTCTGATTGACTTGGGGGCCCTCCAAACTGCCCCTGGCATGACAAGTTGCAAATTCAAAGTACCCTTGTATTCATAATGGTTTGAGTTGTAGCATCAGAGGTTACACAGCATACTGTTTACTTATGAAAGACAATTTGATACTGAAGTTTTCTGTCAAACTTTTGTCAAATGATACATGTGCAAACTGCAAGCTAGCAAAGCAAGACAAACAACCAGAAATCTGTCGAACTTACCTCCTTTGGCCCTGATAAATTTGTCATAGGTTTCAAATGCATGGCTCTCTACACACTCAGAAAAGTGATCTGCATTAGTCATGAAACCAAATATATTAAAATAAGCACTGTAGATAAATGGAAGTGAGTGAGGTTCAATCAAATCAACTACTCTCCGATGCTGATTTTTGTGTGTTGCAGCCTTACAGCTAAGTAACCATAAAACAGGGTGAGAAAAAAGGGAGAGATTTCCAAAATATGAAGCATTTTTCTTTATGATGAATTCACAAGAAAAGCAACCAACAGAGTAGAGCTTGCATGCGTTCTAATGAAGCAGACGTAAAGACATGTAAAACCATCTCTTCATTCTCTATTTTGTCTCTTTCTAGTTAAAACCAGTACAACAAGTTGACAGTAGGGCAGCAGCCCGTTGGTTCTATGCCAAGAAAGACTACCAAGTTCGTTGGCACCTTTAGTATAAATAACTACTTAAGTCCATGAATAAGTTTTCCATACTTACTCATTAGAGTAAATAAGGGTTTTAATTGAACCGGAAACATACTTTTATCATTCAGGCAGATGGGGTCAGAAGAATCCCAGAAAGGATGTGTGCGCAAACATGTGCGAGAGAGAGAGCGAGGGGCAATTATAAAGTCAAATTCACATAATTGTACTTACATGCCATTCTTGGGCTTAATGCATACATGAAGACTGTCATAATATAATAAAAAATTGCTATATGCTGAGCAAGGAACCGATCAAACCACCAAGAGTTCCCCCCTAATTCCTGCAACCAAAATGCTATATGTTATAAGTTTCAATTTCTCTTCAACTTACTCTAAATCATCTCATGCTCATCAAGATTAACCATTTTAGGAACTTACTTCCATGATAAGGAGGTGGTGCATCTCATTCCAGCTCTCAGCAAAATGCACTTTTAGATAGTCTGCTCTTCTCCACCAACCAAAACTCTCATACATATGCAAGACGGATATAAAGGCTGCCATAAGAACAAAAAAAAAAAAATGCCCACATGTCAACAAGAAAGTCTTGCTTAGAACATCCGGAAAATGAAAGATCATAACTGCAAGTTTAACAAATTTCGCAACAAATAATTTCTCTTAAATGGCTAGAATAATAGATAACATGTTGCCTCTTATTCTAGTAAAATGCATACTTTATAGAATAAAATCTGTAATATTTACAATGAAATGAACAAGAAAATATGCTATGTAAAGAAACAAGTGAAGTCACTGACCGAAATAGGGAACTCTTGCAATTGTTTCCAACACAAAGAATCTAGCATAATCTCTGTCATGGTACAATGTATCAAGTATCTTTATCACTGAATCCTGAACAAAACGATCAAACAACTTCAATAACGAATAAAATTGGCTGAATCAATAAGCTTGGGTCACAGTAATTCCACTAAAACTGAACAGAATCAATGTTGAAGTCTACCGTGAGGAAGATATTCACAGATTGTTCAACCTTGATGACCCATCTCTCCAAACCACTAGATGATGAATTGGCAGGCGATTCCCCTGTTTCTTTAACCTCATTTCCCGGGAATCCTTTCGTCCGAAATGACTTTTCCACTACAACCTCTTCTTCGTCTTCTTGCAGGAGTGTTGCTTTGACTGGATACAACTTCCTGAAAATTCATGCACAGAAACACGCATAAACGAATTGTTTTTGAATAATTATAACAAAATTTAACATGGTGAAAACGATGAAACTACTCGAACAAATTACCTGGACAGCGGTCGATAGGCAGGGGGAGAACTGCAACGCAAAGGGTTTTGGTAGTTGGAAGGGAGAGGGGTTCTAGAGTTTCTAGCTCTGAAAGAGGACGAGACTGAGGTTGCAAACGCCGCAGAAGAGACACTCGCCGTCGTCATTTCTCCTGCGTGTTTAAAATAATAAGTCACCTCGAAACAGAGAGAGCAAAGTGGCAATAGGCGATGAACAAAGTTAGCGGAAGCCTTCAAAGAAAGGCGGTTTCGGTGTGCGCATATTCCTGTTGCTGCCCGCTGTTTGCGGCAGTTAATATCATCATGGGCTTTGGTTTGGCAAGTTTTTGGGTCCATTCATGAACAGAGCAGGCCCTTTTTTATGCCCTTTCATTTATTTTTCATCTTTAATCAAACAAAATCTTAATAAATGATTGAGATAAATGATTATCAACTTGATTTGTTAGGTACAATTTTGATAAATTAATTTAATTATAATACTTAATACATGCTGAATTTGATGGTAGGAAAGTGTATAAGGGGAATCAAAAGTTTCAACTATTATACAATGCTCTGAAATTGTGGATTAAACTGATTGGAACAGATCAAATCTTTACATTAGCATAATGACTTACATAAATACTGTATTAGCATATAAGCAGAAGACACAGATTTCATGAATCAGGGGAGTTTCCACTTGTTTCCCCATTGGACCAATCTCGAAAGTGACATGGTTCTAGGAACAGCTGTAGCTGAGATGTGCCCCTCTTTCTCTACTTGGAGAGAGAAGAAAAAAAAAAACAATCCAAATTGAATACGTCAAGGAAGGTGATATAGGTGGGATTGATTGAAGCAATAGATTTCACAACCAAAATCCATGTTCTATGCGGCTATGTGGCTTTCTTTACGATCATACGAATTGACTTTCATTTCATATTTTTTCGTTGCCCAAAAGCAAACCAGCATGTGATTTCAGACCCTGTTTAATCAAAGAAACTGGTTTTGTATTCAAGGTGCCCACTTTTTTTGATGGGGTAATCTTGTTTTTGTCAAATCAAATCTCATCTTGTATGATCCCATGATCCTCGAACTACACGTGTCTTGCGATTTTCACGTTCATAGTCTTCTGATTGAACTAGTAGTTAACTATGGCTATCTCACAGCAATGGGCTAACTTTAAAAAGAATAAAAAAATAAAGAACATACGCCCTGTTCTCCGAATCCCAATTCATAAGAATCAAACCAAGTAAAAACTGAACTTAACTGACCGGAAAAGTAGATGCCTGTCTTTGACAATCGAACTTGGTAAAAATGTAGGAAATATCAGGGGCTGTTTTGTCCCCATTGTGTGATCTTAGCTTCAACAATCACTCCCAAGATTGAGCTAGCCTTGAATTCAGAAAGAGTCCAGCAACTGGTCTGTCATGGAAGGGTCCCACGATCAACAAAACCAATCATGCAGTACTATTAAAAAACAACTGTACATATATACTTAAGGAGAGTGAGAGAGTTGAAAGAGCAGTTTTCCGTTTCTCACTCATTCAAGCGATCATCTTTTTTATGTCATCCTCTCAGGCTCGGAATCTGACTTTAGCAAAGTTCCCAAAGCTATGGAAAATGAAGTGCAGTCTTCGTTGTCTAAAAGCAGGGCAAATCCAGGCTACATAACTCAGGAAGGACTTGAACTGAAGAGCTTTAGATTATGCCTCTACTGGGTTTGTCTAGATCAGTCCAGTTTGTGGGGAGTTGGTCTCTCCTGGTCTGTCTTCTTCGTGCTCGCCGTTGGAGTTCCAATCGTATCCCACTTTGTTCTCTTATGCTCCAACTGCGACGAGGAGCATCAAAGGCCTTACGATGCCTTGGTACAGTTATCTCTCTCTTCTTTTGCAGCGATTTCTTTCATCAGTTTGTCTTCTTGGGCTCGAAAATATGGAATCAGGAGGTTCCTCTTCTTGGATAAATTGTGTGATGTCAGTGATAAGGTTCGCCAAGGATATGCAAAGGAGCTTCAGGTATGTTCCTTGGGCAGATTTTCCCATTCTTTTTTTTATATATTTGTTTTGGTATATATATTCAAGCTTTCTGCGTTGAATTCAGCTTAGGCAGTTTAGCAAAGCCATTTCCAAACTCAGCCTTGTTCTTTCTGATTTTCTGATATCTTGTAGAGGAGCTTTGACAGCCTCTAAACAGAGCTGGTTTTGGGCAGAGATTTTGCGTTTTTTCTTTTCAATTTTAAGAATTCATAATTGTGTTTAATGCTAGTTTTGGGCAAACGATCATTTTTTTTTCCTCTTAACTATAAATACTAAATATTGTGATCATCAGACGTTGGAAGTTTGTTAGAGCATTCTACTTCTGGTATTGCAGAAGAGGCCAGTCACAGCATTTGATGGATGGGATTGGGAAACAAACTGAATGTCTATCTCTTTCTTCTGAATCACAAGAACAACGCTATATTTAATGCAAAAATGGAACTTTTAGTTCTACAACTAAAACGTATGTTCTGATGCTTGTTGGTAACCAGCAGAAAAAGGGAATTGCTGCATTTCTCAGTCTTTAAAATCCGGGAAATGTGGCATTTCTTCTTCTAAAAGGTGGGGTTCGAAAAGGGAAGAAGCAGGACAGAAATCTTGTTCCACATGATAACTCTGATCTAAATCATTCAACGATATATTTCATGGTATCAACTAAAATGTGGACATCTGATATTTGCAGAAATCAATGAAGCTCCTCTGTATATTTGTCCTCCCATGTTTTGCTGCCGAGAGTGCATACAGGATTTGGTGGTATGCCACCGGAGCCAGCCAAATTCCATACCTTGGCAACTATTACGTTAGTGACATCATTGCCTGCACATTGCAGCTGTCCTCGTGGCTTTATCGAACAGCCACATTCATCCTAGCCTGCATTCTCTACCAACTGACTTGCCATCTGCAAATACTTCGACTGGAAGACTTTGCTCAAGCTTTTCAAAAGGAAACTGAAGTAGGTTCAATCTTGGCAGAACACCTCAGGATAAGAAGAAATCTTCGGATCATAAGTCACCGGTTTCGCTTATTTTTATTGTTGTCACTGGTGTTTATCACTGCAAGTCAGTTCATTGCTTTATTCATGACCACTCGGACCAGTACTACTGTCAATTTCTACGAGGCTGGAGAACTTGCAGTAAGCCACTAATTTCTAGTGGACAGAAAACTACAGTTTCAAGACATTCTTAACAGTAAAATCCATAATTTTTCTGTGGTGATTGGTGCAGTTATGCTCCATAAGCCTGGTGACTGGACTATTCATCTGCTTGAGGAGTGCAACAAAGATCACTCATAGGGCACAGTCTATTACAAGCCTTGCTGCCAAGTGGCATGTCTGTGCCACAATCAACTCTTTTGATGATGCTGATGGTGAGACACCAACAGAGCAGATTGTTTCTTCTCAGATGCTTCCAGCTGGTGTTGATTGGGAATCAGAAGAAGAAGAAGATGGAGAGGATGATTTGGACAACACAAATCTAGTGCCCATTTTTGCACACACAATCTCTTTTCAAAAGAGACAGGCTTTAGGTTAGTAGGAAAAAAGCATACTTGTATTCATTTTTACTCCACATCTATTTTGCAGTAATAGTCCTAATCAGGTTGCTAACATGTGTTGCAGTAACATATCTAGAACACAACAGAGCAGGAATTACAGTGTTTGGATTCATGGTAGACAGAACAGGAATCCACACGATATTTGTGATTGAACTAGCTTTACTGCTCTGGCTGCTCAATAAGACAATAGGTATTTCTTATTCTCCCCTTTGCATCTGTGAGTGAGAGTGAGTATAATTTAACCCAAGAGAAATAAAAGATGAACAGAACTAGTTTATTGATTCAAAAACTTCTGCATGTACTGTTGGCCATGAAAGCAAGAAGCAGCCCCGGAAAATGAATGCTGTTATTGATATGGTTTCATTTTCGAGCTGCATTCTTTTAAGTTTAAGTGAGAGACATCTAAGGGATCAAAAAGTACAAGTTGCCAGAGATCAAACTATAGATAGTGTTGAAGCATCATAAAGCTATATCCTGGCCATTTCTCTATTTGAAAATAAGGAAGTTCAACATTTTCTTGAAGTACAAATGGAATGCAGGTATACATATAGAGGAATCTTACAATATATCTAGATGTTTCTAGCATTTGACATTTTGGTTTGTGCCAAATTAATATTCTTCATATCCCTAACTTTTCTACATCCTTCTGACAGCAAATTTGACATGAATACCCTACACCTGGGAGAGGGCTTAATGCAACATCGCTATCCACTTGCAAAAGTACTATGTTGACAGCTGAGAAGGTGATGGATTATCTCAATTTGGCTGCTAGACAGCAATCAGCATATTACCAAACAGAAGGCTAGGGGATTTTCAACTGGTGAACAAAGACTCTGATGGAGGAGTGAATGTCAAGTACCTAGTACGAGTTAATATCTAAACTCAAGCATCTTGATGTGAATGTTTTGGTCCTTAAGCAAGCCATGGTATAAATTACTTGTAACATTTTGCAGATTATGTAAAATTACTTTGGTATAGTTTCCTAAGTTATATAAAGAGTCCAGTTTTCTGTCAACATTTCTGTATCTTGTTGAAGTTGCTCATAGCAATATGCAATTGTCATTTTGTTGATTATGGAGCTGATAAAGAATCTGCGTGATCAGTTTTGCTTTACAAGTTCAGTATGCAATTGTAGAGAATGCTAGGCAAAGGCTAATGCCCTGGTTTTGTGAACCGATCATTGAAGCTGACAGTCCTCAGATCAAAGCCTTGCTTTTGGCTACTTTTTTCTGATGCTGCAGAAAATTGAGTAAAAAACCCAGGTTGCCAAGACCGTAGTTAAGGGCAGTGTATGCCTTTTGAATCTCTTGCATGAGTAATAAGCTAGTACCAACTTGGGAAAATTTTGAGTCTTTAATGATGTTTAGAGTAGAGATATCAGAAAATTTTCAAGAAAGGATCAAACACTTCGATTCATAAATTTTCTTGTTCATACAAATCATATGACAGACAAGAAGATAATTAAATTTTCCCACTCCATAGGAATTCTTGTTTGAAGTTATTGCTGCTCCCTCAGGTTTTTATTCTTGGTGGCAGCCGCACAGCTCCATCGCATTTCCTTTGCCTATTTGATGCTGCACGTTTGAAAGGAATGAACATGAGCTAGTTCTATAGTTAAAACATAAGGTGCCAATGCATTGAAAAAACTGATATAAAAAGCAAGAGAAGTCGAGAATTATTACGTCTTGCAGTTGACAGTGGGGTCGATGGGCACGGGAACGGTGACACCACACAACCCAGGAAGCAGCTTAGCTTTCTCAGGTTTGACCCCGTAAGCCGAAGCATTCTTTTCAAAGCATTCGCACAGGTCCCTGCGTGCTTGAGTGGTGCTAGCTGCAGCATTCACGTCAGACACAGCTGTGCAGCAAGGAGCAGCGGGTGAGGGTGCCATATCTCTCAGGAAAGGCCCGCAAGGGCTCAATTCCGTTAGGGCTTGCTGGCATGTCATTCCATGCACAGAGCTTGCAGTCGAAACCAAAACCACTAATCCAACAACCCCAAGATACCAAGACAAACCCATGATTTTCTTCACTTCTTTGTTGAAAACTGCAGAAAGAGAATAAGAAAGAGATGCTTGATTGTGTATTGGCCTTGGCTCCTTGGTACTTATTTATAGGGATAACTCTGATTCTACCATTAAAGCTGAGTTAATACATCATCAATGGTATTTCCATAGCCACTTTCTTCTTGTCAGAGACTGTTTTAATTACGACAAAAAGCTTTAACTTTAAATGATTCTTCTATTAAGTGTTCTGAGTAGTAACATCCTATTGTGATTCGCTGTCTTCTTTAACTCATGGAATTTCTTTGACCTGTGGACCTCACAAGGTGGCCCCTGTTGATGCAAAAAGAAACGCCAATACCACCAAACATCCGTTTCATTCATCTTCTTCTTCTGTTTCCTATGGATTTGTGTTCTTTTCTCTTGTACAAAATTCCCCTGAACTCTTTTCTTCTTCACCTGAGCTGCCAACGACATAACAATGAAGTTAATAAATCTACTTCATTGCATAATATTCCTTCCAGCCTTAAATATTTGTCTCTCTTTAACTTTTATGAAGATTAAAATAAAATTTTAATAGAAATGGAAGGAGTAATAGTTATTTGGGGACTCTAGGTGTGTTTTAGGATGTAGATATTTACAAACAGAAAATATAATATTTTTGAATGAAGGATCAAATTCAGCATTGGCTGCTCCATAAGGAAAAAACCATAGTTAGATATTAAATTAATGCAACACTAGCATGCTGTCTAGCTGCTAATTGTTTTCACCTGCTTCATTAGTTTTGAGCAAAAGGAAAACCTTTTCCTGCATAATTAGCCACTTGTGGGAGCAAGTATCCACTTAATTCGCTTGTCAAAAATTTGGAAAGACCAATTATTGGATCATATAGATGGTAAACACAAAACTTTGATCTAAATCATATCCAACACTGTATTGGGGTCTATCATCTCAAATGTGAACAACGAGTTATTGCAGAAATCAATGGAGCTCCTCTCTATGTTTGTTTTCCCCTGTTTTGCTTCTAGAGAATTTGGTGCACTTTCGGCAACGTTTACCAACTGACTTGCTATCTGCAAACACTTCAGCAACATGGTTGCTCTGATGTTAATCCTCCCAACACCGCTTTGCAGACTAGCAATGGCGTGGACCCTGCATCAGAGACTAATGAGGCTTTGGGCACTGCAGAACTGACAAATGAATCTGGTAGCAATTCAACCAGGCAGCGCAGGCCTTAGTATGGCTGGATCTGCAGTGATGATGAGAAAGATGTTGTGGAGCTAACACCAGGACCACAAGCTGAAGAACTAGCTGACTGGATTCTCAGGGGACAGAGAGACAAAGCAAAGGTGGGATGTGAAACCTGAGGGTATCTGAACTCTTTTCAGCTGTAAATTCGTTAGCATGAAGCTAACATGAGAGGTATATATTTTCTGGGATTTGACTTAAAACTCTGCTTATGGAAATTCCAATGGATGAATATATATATATATATATATAATTCATGGTTGGTATAGAATGCAATCTTGTCAACAATCAGATGAATCCAAATTCCATTTCTCAGTTCAAAAAAAAGGCTTGCTCAGGTTTTGTATTTCACAGATGCTTGATCGCACAGATTTCCACTTTGTTAATCAAATTGCATTTGTAACTGCTTCATGTTCTAAGATCTTTCAAGCCGACTGGCTGGAAATTAAGGCCTGGAGTCAGCTAGCATTTTTCAGATGATGCAGAAAAACAATGTTCTCATATTGAGGAGTAAGACACCATCGAGTCCAGGTTTCCATGACAGTAGTTGAATGGTTCTTAACAAAATTATGCTTTTGAAACATCTTGCATGATTAGTAGATAGTATCAACTGGTGCAGATTGAGAATCTTTAATTGTTGAGGTTTGGTTAAAGATTTCAGAAGGATTTCAAGAAAGGATCAAGCACTTCCATTCATAATTTTCTTGTTCATACATAATAGATTATCAGCAACAAGAGAAATAAAAATCTTCCACTACATAGAAATATTTCTTTTTCTTTTTGAAGTTACTGCTGCTCCTCAATGCTGTATTCCTGGTGGCAGCCGCATAACTCCACTCCTCGACGCATTCTCCATAGCCTAGTTGATACTGCACGTTTTCAAAAGGAAAGAGCATGAGCCAAATTTACAATCGAAACAAAGCTGTCAATCCATTGAAAAAAGACGAATAAAGTTTAAGCAAGGCGCAAGAGAGAGTGTTACGTGCTGCAGTCAATGTTGGGATCTATGGGCACGGAAACAGTGACGCCACACAACTGGGGAAGCTGCTCAGCCTTGTCAGGCATCACCCCGAGAGCTGGGCCAGCCATCTCAAAACATGTGCACAGGTCTCTCTGTGCTTGAGTGGTGTTAGCCGCAGCGGTGACGTTGCCCACAGCTGAGCAGCAAGGAGCGCTGGGTTTGAATGCAAAACCCATCAGGAACTTCTGGCAAGGCATCAACGCCATTATGGCGTCCCGGCATGTTATTGCATGCACGGAACTCGCAGTTGCAAACAAAACCACTAACCCCAAAACGCCAAGAGACCAAGACAAGCTCATCAATATCTTCTCCATTTTTTTGTCTTTGAGGATTACTGCAACAAGAGAATAGAACGGAAGTAGATGCTTGAATTATAGCAAAGAACTTGGGTTGTGGCATTTGCAACTTGGCGCTATATATATATAGGGAGAACGCAGGTTCCACCCTTAATGTTTGTGCTGTTATTCAAGCTATCATTACATTTTCAATACCAAATCCCAGTTGTAGATGGTAAGTCACATCTCTATATTTTGGTATGTTCTCTCCTCCATTCATTGCAATTAATTTCACTTGTGGACCTGACAATGTGGTCGTAAATCTGCGTAAGAAAAGGAAAAGGAAGTTTGTTCACATACTTCATGTAATGATAATAATTCCTCCAGATGTGTACAAGGATATGATGATTATCTGTATATAAGCATGCAGCAAAGACTACTGAATGAAGCATTGACTGCTCCTTAAAAGGAACTGTACTATTTTTTTTCTTTTTCGAAAGAAACGAAATCACCCTTCTTCTGCAATTCATTTGAAGAAGAACTCTTTGTTCAAAGAGATCGCATTACATGAAGAATTCGCGTTTAATAAATCTATTACTTACAATTCAGTAAATGTTTACGTAAATTTGCTTATCATACATAGCCACATTGTGCGAACATATTAACACTATTAATTTTGATTAAGCAAAAAAAAAACGCAATTAATTAATTAATTAATTAATTATATTGTTCAATTAAGGTGCTTTAATTCATTTGATTCATTGCCATGATTGTCCCTCTGATACTCTTGTGTATTGGCGTTTTTCTGATGTGGTGTTTTTGCTGTTTGATTTATACTTATAGGCAGGTTGTGTATTTCATGGCCTTGTGTTTTTTATCATGAGGGTGTCTGCAGAACCTGGTTCATCACTATCTCTTCTGTTGGGGCTGTTTTTTGGCTTATGTACAGGGTGATTCTTTTGTTCTCTTGGGTTGTTACGTGATGAGGGTGGGACGTCGATCTCTTGGTCCGGAATTGTTTGTTTCAGCTGGTAAGTCTTTTTTGATCTCATTGCAACCTGAGGTTGTGTATATTTGCTCTTCTCTACTTATGGCTTAAGAGTTCCTGCCTTAAATGGGCAGCTTTTGTAAAGCATCTCGTTAATGAAATTATATCTTCAATTTTCAAAAAAGCAAAAATTAAGGTGCTTTAATAGGTCGAAAGTTTTTTCCTTTTTCTAATTCATTCCTTCCTGATCTTGTTAAGCAAATTGGAGTTACGGCCCTTTTGCATGCAAGATAAAGTAAAAACACTGTTTTGGTTCATGTTCGGCTTCAAAGGTAGAGATTATCAGAAAATTTGGGAGAATCACACTTACATTTCACGTAGACAAGAAAGAAAATAAGTGAATTCTACTAGTTCTATATATAGAAGAGAACTTTTTCAAATTTATTGCAAATTTATTGCTGCTCTTCATGTTTGATTCTGGTGCCGCCATACCTAATGGATGCTGCACATCAGTCAAGAAATCAAAATGGGTCAGTTTCTTCATATGCAATCAAGAGAATACTAATATCAAAATGAAGTGAAAGTTGGAGATCATGAGTTTCTGTGAGGATTAAGGGATTACTTCTTGCAATCATTGGCGGAGGGAGCAAGGGGCACTGGAAAGTTGAGATTACAGTACTTATTAATTTTCTTAGCTCTATCAGGCTTATACCCGTCGCGCCCCGCTAGCTTGTGAAGACATGCACAGATGTCCTTGCGGGTCTGGGGCTTGGTAATGCCACCGTCTGTATTGGATAAAGCTATGCAGCAAAGAACGTCGGGCCTGGCTGCTTGTCCCACCAGGTAGGGCTGGCAATATGGTACGAAATTCACTATGCAATCCTCGCATGTTGCCTCTCTATCTGCATGCGCAGGGTTGGTGGTAACCACCAAAAACCCAAACCCCAAAACCCAAAGAAAACAAGAGAAACCCATCATTTTCTTCTCCATTTCTTTGTTGAAAATTGCAGCAAGAGAATAAGAGAGAGATGCTTGATAGTTGATTGTGTGTCGGCCTTGGCTCCTTGGTACTTACTTTTAGGAATAATTCTGATTCTACCATTAAAGCTGAGTTAATACAACATCAAAAGTATTTCTATTGCCACTTTCTTCTAGTCAGAGATTCTGTTTAATTACATTTAACAGTTTTAACTTTATATGGTTCTTTTAACAATTGCTGCAAGTTGTAGCATCTTACTTTGATTTGCCATCTTCTTCACTCATTGAATTTCTTTTGCTCTGTGGACATCATAAGGTGGCCCTGTTGTTAACAAAGAAAAGCAAATACCACCAAATACCCGTTTCATACATTATCTTCTTCTGTTTCCTATGGATTTTTGTTCTTTTCTCTTGAACTCGTTTCCTCTTCACTCGAGCTGCCAACAACATAACAATGAAGTTAATAAATCTACTTCATTTCATAATATTTCTTCCGTCTTTAAATGTTTGTCTCTCTTTAACTTTAATGAGGATTAAGATAAAATTTTAATAAAAATGGAAGGAGTAATAGTTTCCTCAGTTACATAAGGAGTCCGGCTTTCTGTCAACATTTCTGTATCTTGCTGAAGTTGCTCATAGCAATATGCAATTGTCATTTTGTTGATTATGGAGCTGATAAAGAATCTGCGTGATCAGTTTTGCTTTACAAGTTCAGTATGCAATTGGAGAGAATGCTAGGCAAAGGCTAATGCCCTGGTTTTGTGAACCGATCATTGAAGCTGACAGTCCTCAGATCAAAGCCTTGCTTTTGGCTACATTTTTCTGATGCTGCAGAAAATTGAGTAAAAAAACCAGGTTGCCAAGACCGTAGTTAAGGGCCATGTATGCCTTTTAAATCTCTTGCATGAGTAACAAGCTAGTACCAACTTGGGCAAATTTTGAGTCTTTAATGATGTTTAGAGTAGAGATATCAGAAAATTTTCAAGA